TTTGTTGAACTTGGGGCATGACGGTGGGTAAAACAAAATACGCGGCCTAGCTAACTAATGAATGAATATTTTCTGTAAAATTCTTAACAATACTATAATTAGGTTATAAAAATCTATCAGTGTACCAAATTTTTAAACATTCATGAAAGTTAAGTACATTTTTCTATCAAATAAATTTTCTATACTTTCGGTGCGAAGAAAAAAAAATAGGAAGAAATTCAATCAAAATTGGAGATTTTGTATCTCGTGTATTTCTTAATTGATTGTCTTCAAATTTGGAACGTAAAGTAAGGGCCCAGTAGCACACATCCACTGAAAATATTTGATAGTTTGGTTTAGCAACAGAAAGTGGAAAATTGCTAAGTCATCCCTCCTGTTAATAACACACAGTAAATATTTTATTTTATTTTGAGAATGAGGACAGTTTATTTATTTTACACTATTAAACGTCACTTTTCTTTTGACATCTGTGTGATTTAAAACTTAAGAAAGTGTAGTTTTAACCTTAATTAATTTAGGGTAGATCAGAAGTAAAGCAAGATGTGTAAGTAATTAAAATAAAATAATTTATGACAATAATTTAAAAACGAAGAAGTCTTGCGTCTAGCTTTCTCACAGAAAGAACGCTGTTAGTAAGAATTTATTCACTTGCATATGTTAGATAAATTCATCATTTCTACTATATAATCTAAGTACATCTAAAAATAAACACATATATTGTATATTGAGGTGGTATTAAGGAAAATTTGTAAAATAGATGAGTTTTTGGAATAATGCTAAGCTATCACTCCTGTTAATAAAACACACACACTGCGTCCTGCAGATTGTTTGGGCTACACACCACACTACTGTGTGTCTTGATATAAACTTTCATAATGTATACATTCTATTTTATATATTACAATATCCTTCATTATTAGATAATTTTAATATTGGTTCCTGTTTTTCGCGTTTAATTTGTTTTCACTTAATTTGTACCATAACCTAATTCATTTTTCACTAATAACACCTACAAGTGGTTTTTAACCCTTAACCACATTTGTTTTCTTGTTCTACTTGAGTGTTTTCGTCAGTTCACTTGTTATTCTTGTTTTTGTTCGTTTTTCTTAGTACTGATTTTGTGTTTTGAAGCACTTTTTTAAATTTCATTTTGCACGTTTTCATTGGTGCATAAAGAAAGTAAAAATCGGATCATTAAAAGATCGTATAATAGATAGATAGATGTTGTTAGTGTTTACGTTGACGCTTGTTTTTGTATTCGTACAAAGAAGTTTAACTTGTAAACAATAAATTGCTCATTGCAGTAAAATATGAAGCTGAAACAAAAATACGTTTAATTGTAGCTAAATTATGTCTCAGATACATAAAAAGGTTTAACTTGTTTTATATTTACTGTATTGCTGAATGCTACTGTGTTGTTTTAACCCTTTCACTGCTACGAAGACGTACTCAGTACATTTTTCATGTTTCACTTATATACTTTAAAAACTTAGTTCATTTTCTATTTAAACAATTTGAATTATCCACATGGACAAAGAATGGGCCACAATATATATATATGGAGGAAACAACGATTATTAAGGTGATGTTATTTTTAACGCATAGCTAACAATAGATCATATACGCTTTGTCCACAACGTGGAATCGAACTCAGGATTTTAGCGCTGTAACCATTATTAAGGGAACTGGTAACTAGTTTTAACAACATGCGATAACAAGACTTAATGATTTTTGTTAACAGTTATAGTTTGACCATCTTGAATTTGACTTATATGATTATTCAGTAGACAAATTCTTATTTGCTGAAACTTTGTTGTTGTTAAGCACAAAGATACACAAAGAGTTATCCGTGCTCTGCCAACCACGGGAATCGAAACCTCGTTTTCGGCATATTACGCCCTCAGTCACCGAGAGGCTAATCGAAACGAAAACCGATAATTTTTTTTCGAATATGAGCTGAATAACTAGGAAGAAAAAGTATTTCTGAAAGTATTTGTATTTATTCTGACGACGATGACGAGGTATCTGTCAAGGATGAGAGTGAAGAAGGTGGTGATAATGTTGAGGATGATGATTCTGCTGAAGAAGCAGAAATATATATATATATATATACTTAGACGGTGTGAAATTAAACGAAGATTTAGAAAATGAGGACACTGATGAGGATAAACCTCAAAATAAGCAACAAAGGCAACTATAAGAACTTTTAGCTCGACGATGGACTAAGGTATACTTGACACCTTCAAGTGCTAGTGCTCTGGGTGATGCAGATGGTGTTGAAGTTGACACAATAAAATTGTTTCACCTGACTATTTAAACCTGTTTGGTAATGAGAACTGTATGGATTATTTGGAAAGTGAAACAAACAGAGCAATTTATGGATTAGAATATGCTGAGATGTAGGTGTTAGAGAATGGTATTCGAAAACAAAAAAAAGATGAAATAATTTCTTATGTTGATATTTCTTATCACTATTATCCAGAAACCTAAGACTGAAATGTATCAATGGTACATTGTACAGAATTCCACTTTTCAAACGTGTGCTCCGCGCAAGGTTACAAAGTTTGTTAGTAGTGAAATGGTTAACTGTATATGTACATGGTAAATGGAAATGAAAGCAATGTCTGTGAACAAATCAACTATTTTAGACTAAAAATACATTCAAGTGATAAAATATATTTACTAAATATGTAGTTTTTGTATAAAAAAGATTAACAAGAAGCATTTGTTGTAAAACTTCTTATTGTCATCTTTTAATCTTTTAAATAGAGTAACGTGTTATATTTTCATTGTTTTCCAATGTTCTCGACTGTCTTATTTTTAATACTTTGCTTAAATCATTAAATGATCATCTCTTTGTTAATAAGTAAATCGTACTGATTTTCTATCCATTTTAACGACCCTCTTGCAGGTCTAATACTAACGTATTCAAACCTACAAAAGATGTTATAAATTACACTAACAGAATCATTAAATAAACTTGTCAAAAACTTTATTCGCAGATTATAATTATGAAATATAATTTCTACCCGGTCATCAAATATGTAAATTTTGTTAACAAGCAAGAAAAACACGAAGTCCAGTCTATCATTTAAAGTTCTGGGGATGAGAGAAAAGAAAATCGCATTTCTGCTATGGACACCATAATAAGTTAGTAACATTAATGTTACATATTCTTCAAATATCAAGATAAATAGCGGTTCACTGTGGTGAGTAAAATGCAACTTAAATACCATACAAATATCTATAAAGAAGGTTATTAAAGCTTTACCACCAGGAAGAAAGCAATATTTTAAACAGCGAGTTAAGCTTGTTTTAGTTTCCATTAAAAGTAAGCCAGTTTAAAACTAGAACTCAGACTAAAACGGCTTGGTCTGAGTTAAAGAAAGATTTCCACTCATGCAGAGATTGGCAGCCACGTGGAGCTTACAGCTTGACAAAAGGAGCTCAGTTAACTATAACGAAACTTTCAATTTCACTCCTCACTAATCTTAGAACTATTTACAGCTGTTAATTGTGTCCTTCCGCAGAGGCTTAGCCACATCACAATCAAGTGCAAGCTTGTACCTGAGTTAAAAACATGGAAGTTTTGAAATCTATCCCAGAAATCTTTTAGTTTCGACAGCAAATTATATGTTATATGTTTAAAAGTGCTAAGGGATGCCAATTTTAAGTTATTAGACGTCGATAATTACGTATTTTAATTTTATTCGGATACATTTTATTCATGTTAATTATGACCCACTTTTTTCTTTCCCGAAAATGGTATTTTAAATAAAAGACATTAAATTCAAATTTTATCTACTGGCGTACAAGGTAATTAACGCAAGCTACTTTAAAAAATAGTACTGTTTTTGTGAAAATATACCACAAGTGTGGGATGAACTCGCACTGATTTATTACCTTAGTTTAGAGAAATCACACGAATGTTAAAGGAAATCCCACAATTAATGGTGCAGAATAGATATTAAAAATGAGACTGTCCTCAGTCTTAAAACACAATAAAAGATTTGCTCAATAACTTACTGTATAAAAATAAACACCTTAAAACGGGCACTCCTGATGATGATGAAAGAAGAAATCGAAAGATGTCGAGTGGTCAATCTCAACATTTTTATACTTATACAGAATATTATTGGGTATATATATTTTATTGTATTTTGAAAATGGAGATAGTCTCCATTTTTAAAGATTTATTGCACACTATTAAACGTTACTTTTCTTTTGACATCTGTGTGATTTAAAACTTAAGAAAGTGTAGTTTTAACCTTAATCAACTTAGGGTAGATCAGAAGTAAAGCAAGATGTGTAAGTAATTAAAAGCAAGATAATTTATGACAATCATTTAAAAATGAAGAAGTCTTGCTTCAAGCTTTTTCACAGAAAGAACGCTGTTATTAAGAATTTATTTATATTTTATATGCTATATAATTGCATAATTTCCACTATATAATCTAAGCACATCTGAAAATACACACATATTTTGTATATTGAGATGGTATTAAGAAAAAGTTGTTAAAATATATGAGATTTTTTTTTCGAAACAAATGTTATTTTGATGATAAATTATTCTGTTTTATGGTACTTGTGAAATTGCATTTGGCTATAGATTTTTAAGCCTGAAGTTAATCGTTTTAAAACTAAGCCTCAAAAAAGTAGATAGACTCTTAATGTTTTTTTTTCTTGTTTATCATTAAGATGTTTTAATTACTGAAAGAAAATGTAAAACAAACTAGCTTTTTAATTAAATAACTTCAAATATTATACCCTAAACGTGTTTTTGCAACAACAAAAAAAAATATATATAATGTTGTTATCTCTTTCAGTACAAATAAATAGATGTACGTTATCGATTGTAATTCAGGTCTTCATAGGTGAACTTAATGAACGATTGGTCAAATATAGCTTTTATGTCAGCTTTCGAAAGTTCTTTTTTTACGTGTAGAAGTTGGAAATAAACTGATTCTTTTCATTGAAAACCAGTGCACCTCTCCTTTTAGGTCCGTCTCTTGAGGAGTCGGCAGGAATGAGACGATAGATAAAAACATGCCTACCTGGATTTCCCGATGGTGGTGCCGTTTGGGAACGATAAATCGTAAGTACGCCTACACCTAGCAAATACATTTTCTTCTGCGCGAGCACACTCGATGACGTCACTAGACACAAGTGCCAACGAACAGACTCTGTGTTCTTGCATGGCTGAAAGCCGGACTACTTTCAACGCTAAGTGGGCGAACGTCCATCATGTGCTCGGGATTTGGGCACTGTTTATGAATACATCATTCTATGCGCATGCGTGTATTTGTTTATTAGTGATGCGTCAAAAACACACAAAATTGTTAAGGTCTTTGATGACAAAGGACACCACTGAACACGTACATATGATCGCCAAGGTTGTCACTTTGTGAATGAATGCAACACAGCAGGGCCACATTTTGCTGAACAGGCGGCTGGTCGATCTCCGCTTTTCCTTGATTTCGTAGAAGATATACTCATATCCTACTTTGAAAATTTTCTCTTCTCTAAACTTTGGCGAACATTCACAACATGACTGATTTTAATCTATCACTCGAATCGTTTGATGATCTGTTTGAAAGACCGATATCTGATATGACAGACGAGGAGGATGACCGACAGATCTCTGATTCAGAAGATGACAGGTAGGGTCTGCTTTCCATGAATGGTGTCACGATTACTTCAGGTGCTTAGTAGTCGGCAGTGACCGGCGGTCAGTGGTGGAGCGCAGCTAGGCTCGAAATGCGAGAATCAAAGCGAACACAGCAAATCAGAAACTCTCTCTCTCTCTCTCTCTTTCTCCGTGTTGGTGTTAATGAAGCGAGCGGCCTGAAGTTCTGTTATCATTATAGTACTACCAGTATTTAATGACTTATGGAGTGCTAATCTAGGTTTTTACTTGATAAACATATACACAAATAATCTGAGTTATTTGCTTAATTCGCAATTTTAATAAAAAAGACAATCAAATTTATTTTCCGTTAGGGTTCAAGCACATTCAGAGTTGATCTCTATAGTAAGATACTTGTTGAAAGATTGCGGTTGGTGCAGTTGTGACTCCCGGAGGTACACTTTATCAACACCGCGGGTTATGACCTCTCATTGTAACAACCGCGTGCTTCTCAGAAGGAAGATCCACACAGCATGCTTAGCTTAGATAGACTTTTAACAGATTGCTTTTACTTACACTACAATAAAAAATAGTTACGCAGTACTGCATGTTCTGTATAAATATTCTAAATCAATCTTATAACATAAACCAAACGCGATTGTCATCAGTATTGTTGAGGTGACTCTCGAATCGAAGTGTGAATATTATTTGTATCTAACAAAGGGTGTAAACACACGACAAACTCATATCTTTGTCAATAAGGTGTATTTTTGACAAGAATAAAATTACTTATGCTAGTCCCAAAAGAAACACGATACATAGTTGCCTTGTTGTAATATTATTATCACAGGCTTTGCCTAAATTTTTGTATCCATCTTATCCTGATTGTGATGACAGCGATCAACTACACTAATTAATAGTATAGATGTTAAACATTGAAGGTCAAGGTAAGTTTTTCTTCTTTTTTTCTATTTACAGTTTCTGAATTAGCACACAACTTTTTTTTTTTTTTGGAACGATAAAACACGTTAGGCACAATTCCACATGCAAAATGGAAGGAATACAAAAGTGTTCTATAAGAACAGATTTAATGTCAATTCTGATTTTAATACATTTTAAGATAAAATGTAACAGTATTTCCTAAAAACTTCTTAAAACCTTTGTAATAGGCCTGCTTCGAAACAGAGTAATAATGAATTTTAAAAACATATTTTAGCACTCAAAACACATAAGTGAGAGATTACATGAGACAAAAAGTAATAAAATAATATTTTGTAAGAATACTGTCTTCTAAAAAACAGCTTTAGTTGCTAAAAACGGTTATGGATAGGCATGAATGTGGAAAAAAAACGAGTAAAATATTTATCATAAAAATACTTTTCAATTGTTAAAGGGTGTTTTGAATAGGACTTAGGTGACAAGTAAATGCTAAAGTAGTACTTTGTAATAATAGTTTTTAGTTGTTAAAACCTGTTTCTAATAGGGGTTTGAAAAAGAGGAAACGTTAAAATACTTCTGTGACTGTAATAATACTGTATATTTGTTCAAACCTGTTTGTAAGTAATAGAGGTGTGGAAAAAGGAAACGTTAAAATACTGCTGAGGATGTGATAATACTGTATATTTGTTTAAACCTGTTTGTAAGTAATAGAGGTGTGGAAAAAGGAAACGTTAAAATACTGCTGAGGATGTGATAATACTGTATATTTGTTCAAACCTGTTTGTAAGTAATAGAGGTGTGGAAAAAGGAAACGTTAAAATACTGCTGAGGATGTGATAATACTGTATATTTGTTCAAACCTGCTTTGAATATGGTATATGCGAAAAAGAAACGCTAATACGTTGTTGTAATAACAGTTTTAGCTGTTAAAACCTATCTCTAACAGAATATATGTCAAAAGGAAACGCTAAAATAGTGTGTTATAATAATAGTTTTAGTTGTTAAAACCAGCTTCAAATAGGGTGTATACCAAAAGAAAACGCTAAACATGTGTGTTGTAATAATAGTTTTTAGTTGTTAAAAATAGCTTCAAATAGGGTGTATGCCAAAAAGAAAACGCTAAACATATGTGTTGTAATTATAGTTTTTAGTTGTTAAAATCTGTTTCTAATAGAGTGTATTTCAAAGCCTGTTTCAACTAAGGTGTGTGTCACAAAGAAACGTTAAACACGTGTGTTGTGATAATAGTTTTTATTTCTTAAAACCGGTTTTATATAGGGTTTATTTCAAAAGGAAACGAAAAACATGTGTGGTGTAATTATAATTTGTAGTTGCTAAAATCTAATTCTAATAGGGTGTATATCAAAAAGGAAACGCTAAACATGTGCTTTGTAATAACAGCTTTTAGTTGTTAAAATCGGTTTCAAGTAGGACGTGTGTCAAAAGAAAAAGCTAAACACATATATTATAATAATAGTTTTTACTTCTTAAAATCTGTTTCTAATAGGGTGTATGTCAAAAAAAGAATAAACATTTTTTTATTGTAATAATAGTTTTTGGTTGGTGAAACTGTTCTAACAGGGTATATTTCAAAAGAGATACCAAACACGTGTCCTACTAACAATTTTTAGTTGTTAAAACCGGTTTCAAATAAGGTGAATGCCAAAAGGAAACGCTAAACATTTGTGTATTGTAATAATAGTTTTAATATAGTTGTTAAAACCAGTTTCAAATAGCGTGTATGTCAAAATGAAATGTTAAGCACGTGTGTTGTAATAATAGTTTTAATTGTTAAAACCTGTTTCTAATAGGGTGTATGTCAAACGAGACTCTAAATAGTTTATATTTGTTAAAACGGGTTTCATATAGGGTGTGTTTCAAAAGGAAACGCTAAACATATGTGTTGTAATAATAGTTTTAGTGGTTAAAACTTCTTTCCAGTAGGGTGTATGTCAGAAAGAAACGCTAAACATCTATGTTGTAATAATAGTTTTTAGTTGTTAAAACCGATTTCAAATAAAATGTATGTCAAAAGAAAAGGCTAAACATGTGTGTTGTAATAATAGTTTTTAGTCAGTAAAACCTGTTTCTAAAAAGGCGTATGTTAAAAGAAACGCTAAACATCTATGTTGTAATAATAGTTTTTAGTTGTTAAAACCGCTTTCAAGTAGGGTGTATGTCAAAACGAAACGCTAAACATATGTGTTGTAATAATACTTTTTAGTGGTTAAAACTTCTTTCCAGTAGGGTGTATGTTAGAAAGAAACGCTAAACACGTGTGTTGTAACAACAGCTTTTAGTTGTTAAAACCGGTTTCAATATAGTGTATGTCAAGAGAAAATGCTAAACACATATATTGTAATAATAGTTTTTACTTCTTAAAACCTGTTTCCAATTGGGTGTATATCAAAAAGAAACGCTAAACATGTGTGTTGTAATAACAGTTTTTAGTTGTTAAAATATGTTTCCAATTGGGTGTATGTTAAATGGAAACGCTAAAATAGTGTGTTGTAAAAACATTTTTAGCTGTTAAAACCTGTTTCCAATTGGGTGTATGCCAAAAGGAAACGCTAAACGTTTCTTTGGCCGTGATACTGCTGTTTATTTTTTAAAATTTATTTTGAATAGCATTTAAGTGAAAATTTTCATGGAAACGTGTGTATTGCGTTTAGTTATTAAAAACTTTTATGGACAGTCCTCCACGTGACAGGAAATATTGTTTTTTGAAGTAGTTGTTACTTGTTAAAACATCTTTGGAACAGAGGGAATATAAGAAGAAAACAGTAAAATAATTTGGTATACGAATAGCATTTAGTTGGTTAAAAGCTTTTTGAAATATATGTACACGTAAACAGTAAAATATTGACTTTACGGAGTACATTTTAGTTGTTAAGTCGTGTTTAAAACAGTTTTCTTTTGTTTTTTCTATCTGTGATAAGCCCACCATTGATGTTAAAACCGATTTTTAGCGTTTTAACCCTCAGACTTTCATTTGAGCCACGGGGGAGAGAGGATTAATAGAGTATTTTGTTATATAAAAAAAGTAAACCATATCTTGTAAGACAGTTTTTAGATATTAAAAACTGTTATATACCGGTCTGCATGCGAAAAAATAAACAATAAAACAATATGTAGAAAGGATATTTTTGATTGTTAAAACCCGTTTTGAATAAGATATGGTGAAAAAAATCCTCCTTTAAGAATAGCTTTTACTTGTTAAAAATTATGACGGATGGGCCTGAATATTAAAAGGAATGCGTAAAATATTGTTTTATGAAAATAGACATTACTTGTTAAACTTGTGAGTTATATATGAAAAAGAACTGTAAAATGCTTACTGTTAGTTTAATACCTAGCTATTAGAACCTGTTTAATATATGGTTTATATGAAAAGGAAATAATAAAATGATAACTTCTAAGATTAGATTTTAATTCTTAAGTAACGGTTATGAACAGGCCTGCAAGTGAGAAGAAAATAATAATTGAAATGTGAGAATACTTTTAACATGTTAGATCCTGTTTCGAATAAA